ATTTTTTAATTCCTTCGAGCTTGTTTATTTTATTCGATATGATTAAAAAAAAAAAAAAAAGAAAGACGAAAAAGTATAGATTTTTCGTTCGAGAGCGACGATTTTGAAGTCTTCGTTTCTTCATGCCAAATAATTACAGGATCGTTGCCACTGATTGATGTTTATTTGCAAGATACAATTAACGACACGAACACAACCGGCCGTAAACTCGTGTAAAACAAGCCACTTAATCGGTTCCTGCAACTTGAATTATCATCAAATATTTATTCCGTAAGGAGAAAATAGGGGTGAATCATTCGACGATACGTGTAATTGTCGACTGATTCTCCTCCGTGTCCTTTGAGTTTCCGTTTGTCCATCGAGCGATTCAACGTTGCGATTTGGTCACGCATTGCATTTCGTGTGCACGTTGTTTCACGATCTCGAAGAATTCTGTCAAACTTTCCGAAATCGTGAAACCAATGCAGAAAGAAGGCAACTCGAATTTCTCTCGAGCATTCGTCCAACGAATCACGGCGGAACGTGTATGATCGGGAATAGAAAGTACAACGAGAGAATACGGGTTGAGGGAACCTTTCCGCTATTTCGTCGCGATCAAGACGATCCCTTCGAAGAGGCCGAACACTCTTTGAAATTACTCGCTTCTTCGTGGTAAGCAGGGTTTATACGCCACTTACGAGGCGAACATCCTTCGAGATCGAAAACTTGTTTGTTATTAATGAATATTGCGGAATTTTAAGCATTTGCGCGAAATTTAAATTGAAAAATTTCGAGATAATTGAATCGAATTATCTGTTATAATTGGACCATGGATTTTCATGTATTTATGTGAAATTTGAAAACAGAAAGAGCGTGCGAAGTCGATGAAATAATTAGATTACATTATTTGTTGTAGTTGGATTTTTATGTATTTATGTGAAATTTAAAAATACATATGGAGCACAAAACTTAAAATAAAATATTCAAAATGCAGGCTTGTTATGATATGGTAACATCATAGGTTTGCTATGATACTTAATAACCTTTGACTACGTTTTGATTACTTAACGAAGATGTGAATTTGCCCGCAAACCGCAATCTAGTTTCTCTAAGTGGCGTCAAAGGAGTATAAGTCATTATTTAGCAGAAACATTAACATTATTTAACAGGAAAGTACCTATAATGTTCAAAGTACAACGTAAAGTCAGGTATTGGATTCCGATTTGTGAGTTGATAACAATATGCCTCAACTCTTTAAAATGTACATCATATTTCTGAAAATGATTATTTTTATTGGAACTTGACTTATAATCTGTTTTTCTACTTGTCAGAGTGTTGTAATGTGTTTAGAAAGTGAAACAAATCTATTTCTCCGGCTGTATTCATAAAAATTTGACTTTGCACGAACACGTGTAGTTAGTGATGTTTATTTGAAACTGAAATATTCACTGCCACCAAGGAACTATTTAATCTTCGATGAACAGAAAAAGAATGGAAGATTCTTCTTCTACTTAAAAATCAATGATTAATTGATAGTTTAAGCTACTTTCATCGTAAGAGTGTAATTAATATAGAGATTAAACGAGCCTTCGATCTTCAAGTTTGAAGCTCCTCTTGAAGTGGTGAACATGCGGCAAGGACCGACAATACGACATGTACATAATTATTATGCGTTTGCGTGTCTGTCGTCATACATATCCGTGTTCTGACTTTGTACATATAGACAAAAAAGGGGAAAAAATAAAATACATACCGAGAAACGTGCGCGCGTAACCATAGATAGTAGAAAGAGAGAGACGAAAACAGAGAGAGAGAGAGAGAGAGAGCATCGAGGAGAATACGGAAAATTGCTCGTTTATTTTCAACAATGAAGTCCTCGTCCAAGTCTTGGACGAACGATTTTCAACGAATCGTAATTACTCAAACCAAAGTATCGTCACGCTTAATCGTTGTAGAACGCGTGAAGTCTAATCAACGTAGACGAAAGTAACGAAAGGTAGATTCTCAGGAGGATGGACGAAAAGGCATGCTACGTATTCTCTGTTTCTTTGGACAGACACGACGATTAGCAGTTGTAGATATGTCTGTACCTGTACATACGGTAACATTCGCAAGCGTCATATACGTAGCTCGTGTACGTTTACACAAGTTGATCGATCACGTCCGTGGTTTGAGAGTTTTCCTAGACACCACTTTGGGGATCGAGGATCGGTCACGATATTAGTAACATTCGTTAGAAGCGCGAACTCTCGACTCTGATCGCGATCCTTAGTCAAAGGCTATGAATTTGCGCAACAAAGGGATGGAATAAATGGTGATTACGCAATAATCTTCGGAGAGGTTTGTAACACGTAGAAGTTTGTAATCGTAATCGCCGTATGCTAAGAGTCGTCGATCTATATGACATATATTATACATTATGTTACTTATGCGTGTGTGTGTGTGTATGTGTATGAAGCACATACGCGGCGAGGAAGACATAGTCGTTGC